CCCCAAAACCCCAAAACCCCAAAACCCCGTGTTGAAAACATTTGGAAGGTGCTGGGCGTATTAGAAATAAATTAATTCAAGTTTATTAATGGCATTCGTTTTCAAAGCAGACAGGAAAATAGAGCTAAGTGGTAAAGAAAACTTAACACTCGGACCAGGGGCTTACATGGGCCACAAAGAATATAGACCCAAACCATAGACGTATTAAATTCTTAACTCTTTTAACACAACCATGTAGTCATCAACCATTCCAGGCTTAAACTGGAAGAACAGAGACAACTAAGACTCAAATGAACTAGACAGCTTACAATCCAGGTAACACTTTCATTATTTTATTGATGACTGATATAACATCACAGGTCCTGGACAGTACTCAGCTACTACAGGGTTCGAGGCAATTAGCAAGAGCATAGAATCAGCCAAGAAGATCTCTATGTACGGATATGAAAAATTCGGAATAACTGTCATCAAACCATCCAATTGCTTTGCCTCAAAGGTTGACAGATTCCAAGATAAAAATCTCAAGGATAAATCATTGACACCAGGTCCTGGGTAATATGTGGGGGAACAGAACTGGATACAATCTAAGAGGATTGCACCAAAGCCTGAGTGGTAATAAATCACCTGGAACAAGATGCAAAATCCTCCTTCTATCCCTTCTCATGATAATGTTTTTGGATATGAGGAAAACAATTCAGGAGAATTAGTAAAATAAAAGAATAGTGAGAAAATTCACACGGGAGTAAAGCATGATACAGTAGGTCCAGGAGAGTATGATGTGCTAAAGCCAAACTTAACTACCAAGAAAGGCCCGAAGTGGGTGCTTCCGGATGCAAAGAAGAAAGTCGTAGTACCGTCCACAGCAGACTCAGATATTCCAGGCCCTGGGCATTACAACGCCGAGAAAGTAGATATCTTCCCAATCTATAAGTATAAACCCAGCAGTGTTTTTGTATCAAAAGTGCCTCGTGAAGTTGCCAAGAATAGAAAGTCTCAGATGCTTCCACCTTAATCCCAAAGTAGCATAAATATTTCTTAACTCTTATCAATAGGTGTCCAGCAGAACAATGACGATGACTACTATGATGAAGACGATGAGGACTATGCACCTGGACCAGGCTCTTACTACAATCCTCATTAGAGCACTACCTTCAAAGTCAAGAGTGTTCCTGAGAGACTCTAGTTCTTCGGCTCAACCGTGGAGAGATTCCATGATCAGACAGATAAGACCAAGATTCCTCCCAATGTAGGTCCAGGAACATACTAGGTTCCAATTAATAATGCAGCAAAGAAAATGAGATCGCAGAATAATGCTCCGTTCAGCACAACTGACATGAGATTCATTGATAAGACTCAAGCAACATATATTCCTGGACCAGGCTCATATTAGGCTAAGTCACTAGTTGAAAATCTGCAGAGAAAGCCTTGGGGAAAGTAAGGCGTCTTCGGCTCAACTGAAAAGAGATTCGTGCAAGCATAGACTCTATAAACTCCTGGACCTGGATTGTACAAGCCAGAAAGATCAGTTTAAGCTTTGGATAAGAAAAACGACAACAATATAAAGCGATCCTCATCGATGTTTATTTCTAACACTAAGAGAAACCCCTACGAAGACATGAAATCCAGAGCACAGTTGGCAGTGGTGCAATACGATGATAAAACTAATACAATCTAGGAGCAAGTCAGAAGGAAGGTCGAGGCAGGAGTGGGCAACCCATTACTCGCTAACTTGAAGGCAAAGCGAGGAATCAACCCCGCATTCAACTCAAACGCCTCTCGATTCCCTCAAAAGAAGGTTGATGAGGCCGAGACATTCCTCGGTCCAGGCTACTATGAATAGCACGGCACATTCGATGGAGTCAAATCTACTTCTACTAACTAGGTCGGTGCTGCCATCGGCGTCTCTCAACAGTCAAAGAGCATGAACTTCCTATCCTATGCCCCCAGATTCCAAGAGGACAAAAGAAAGATGGAGATTCCAGGTCCTGGACAGTACAGCAACGACGACCTCAACAACTGGTTCAAGAGAACTTACAACATGAACTTCACTGAATGAGAACAAGCATTAAAGCTTAAATGGATAATGACACATATATAATTTCAAAGTTGATTACTACTTAACTTAACTATTATACCCTAGTCATAAATATTTCAACTCACTCAGATTGCTTCTTCTCCTCCTCTGGCTTTTGCTCGGCTCCCTTGGGTTGAAGGTCCTGGGGCAGCAGGATAGGGTTTTCTCTGACGATATCAAGGATTCTGTCTAGAAGTTCTTCTCTCTTGAAAGTGTACTCTTCGTGCTTGCTCAAACTCTTAATCTTAATCACGCCTTCTTTAACTTCGTTTTCTCCTAGCCACAGAATAAGAGGAATGCCGCTTTCAAGGGTGAATTCAAGTTGTCTCTGGGTCTTAGGGTTGTCCTGGTATGCTGTCTCTGCCTTGACTCCGATGCTCCACAACTCGCTGCAGATTTTAAGCCTCTCAGCCACCAAGTTCTTGCCAATCTGCGCAATATAGATCTGAGTCTCAGTTGCTCTGACTTAGTTGTCTCTCTTCAGTTTCTCCTCGAGAATGGCGAAGACTCTCTCTATTCCGATTGAAACTCCGACTGCTGGGATTTGCTTGCCACTGAACATGCCTACGAGACCGTCGTAACGACCACCTCCAGCAATGGAACCTACTTTGTTGCTTGGGTCAGTGAGGACTGCTTCATAAATAAGACCTGTGTAGTAGTCTAGACCTCTTGCTAAAGAGAAATCAAAAGATAGTCTGTGCAAGCAGTTCATTGACTGAAGATACTCAAAGAGAACTTCCATTTCCTTAATAGTCTCCTCGCCTTCTTTGTGCCCAGCAAAGACTTGCTCATCTTTGAGTCTTTGGAGAAGCTCAATAGGAGATCCCACTAGTTTAACAAAGCGTTCAAGCTTATCAGTCATTTCAGGAGTAAGCCCCTTCATCGTTATGAGTTCTTCTCTAACTTTCTCCCATGGCTCCTTGTCAAGTTTATCTACTGAAGAGCAAATAGCTTTGAATTTTCTCTTTTCACAGCCAGCAATCTCGACCATAGCATCGAGGAACTTTCTGTGATTAATCTTGATAACAAACTCTCCAATATCTAATTACTCTAGAATTTCAATTACGACCTTAAGTACTTCGCTGTCTGGAATCATGAGAGAGTACTAGCCAGCAATATCGAAATCGCACTAGTAGAACTCTCTGAATCTGCCCTTGTTCATCTGAGGATTGTCTCTTCTGTAAACCTTAGCAATGTGGAATCTCTTAATTGAAGCTAAGTTGTTAAGGGCGACATATCTAGCGAAAGGAACAGTCAAATCGTATCTTAGAGAAAGCAGTTCTCCTCCCTAATCTTCGAGGTCATAGATCAGTTTAGACTCCTCTCCGTACTTGCCCATAAGAGTTTCCTTCAATTCGAATACTGGAGTGTCAATCTCTGAGGCTCCGTGCTTTTTGAAAACTGACTTGATAATGAAGAATGCGCGTTCTCTGATTGCCATTTGCAGTGGGGTCATATCTCTGGTTCCTTTAGCGCACTTTGGCTTTCTTCTCTCCTCGTTTCTTTGCTCAAGGACTTCATTGAGCACTGAATCAAGTTCTTTGTTGAAGAGCACGTTTATTTTGGATAAAAACACTTCTTGAGAATCTAGGTTTATTTGCAATAGATAGTCAAAGAATTTTCTTGTTCCAGCTCCAAATCCTAGAGATGTTACAGCTTCCTTGCCCTTCTTTTTGCCTCTTTGCTGCTAACCTGCTTTACCCTCTTCTTGCTTAACCTCTGCTTGCTATGATTATTCAGCCTTTGATTTCAATTCAGCCTCTACAGCTCTGTTCTTTGAAAAAGCATTCCAAAGTTCATTTTGATAGGCATTTAACAAGCTTTGGCTGGCTAGAGTCTCGAATGTGAGATCAAGACTATCAGCTGATTTTGATTCCTCAAAGCTTGCTGTTTATTGTTATTTTTGGCCTTGCAAGTGAGCATTTCTAACTAAACTGAGCTGCAAAAGCTGCTGGATTACGTAGCTCAAGGGTGATACTTGTTGAGACAGAATATTTACTTGCTCTTATTGTTGATCTCTAGCTATTTGAATGAGTTCTTTGTACTTTTTCTCTTAGAAGAGAGAGCCATACTCAGAATTGAATTCATTTGTAAGAATTTGAGAAAGCTACAAAAGTCTTTCGTGCAAGTTTCCGTGCAATTGATACACCTTACTTAAGTTCAAAGCCTTATCTGGGAGATTTGAAGTGCTGAGCAACTTAGACTTATCAATCAAAGCTAGGATAGAGTTTTTGAAGTTAGTTGCACCCTAAGTTGATTTTCCAAGAGTAAGGGCATATTCATTTAGGTAGTCCGTATGTACATTCAAAGTTTCGAGTGAATAAGCTAAAGATGTGTCGAGAAGTCTGAGATTCTATTGTAGCTTGTATACTTCTAAGGCAAATATTGCTTGATAAGTGTGTGGCTGAGCTTGCAGGATGAATAGTTCCTTTTCACTGAAAAAGATATTTTGACTTTTAGCGTGCTCAAATACACTCTGCATAAAGTTACCTCCCTCTGGAGTCTATAAGTATGATTAGTTAGTGAGTCGAGTATAAAAACATTAATGTTTGAGTGACTTACCTAGAATTTGCGGTTTTCATTAAGAATAGTAACAAAGTGGTTGATGGTTTACTTGGAAACGTTCTTTTTAAGTTTGATAAGCTAAACTAACTTGACTAATAGAATAGCTCTTTAGTGATCATCTCTCAAAGCGAGACTGGATAGAATCTCAGGGGCTTATTGCAACTCTTTGTTTTGAACTTGAGGGGGTTAAGGATTGAATTCGCATGAAATCACATTATCTACAACTACTTCGTTTTGAGTGGGGAGACAACTGATGTTGAATAGCTCTTCAAGGTTGAGATTTTTATGTCCAATGACTATCTTCATTATTAATCACTAATTAATATAATAATATTACCTAATCATTACTTCCTCATTACTTATACTTTTACAGACCAACTAATTAATCGTTTTTAATCATTAATTTCAATTAATCATAATTAAGAGTCTCAATTCTAAGTTGACGCATCATTATCCTTGGAGTCTATAACTTTGTTCTTTAGCCAAAGCTGCTCTTTAAGTTCAAGCAGGCCTAGGTCTTCAACCAAGCTGTGGATATTAAGTTCTGACTCTCCCATAAGATCATCTTTCTTAATTTCCTTGAAGGCCTTGGTTGAGATATAGGGAAGGTTTTTGATTTTGGTCACATTCTGCTCCTCGAGTTTATCTTCAAGCACTGTCACATCATTGTAAGAGTAGTATTTTCGAGCCTCACTCTCAGTGGCTGGCCGATTTCTCCAAATGTTTACAAACTCTTGTCCCATCTAAATCTAATCCAATCTTGGCTTCAGAATGTCTTTCCAGTTTATCTCTTGATCTTACTATGCAAAAGGGTTCAATATTATAAAATCATCACTTACAGTCTGAGAGAGTTGAGTGAACGTCTGCTTGCATTGCTCTTATTAACTCATAATTATGAAAATATGTTCGATGATATTGACCAGTTTCTTGTTCATGCAGTAGATGCGCTTTAGACTCTCGAAGTTTTGATATTGATTGAAGGTGAAGAACTTCAGAATCATCTCTCTGCCTCCAACTGCCAGCATTTTATCAACAATTGTTAGCCTCATGATATCCTCAACTATAATAACAAGGATTATTCAATGCAAATAATTTAACTTACTATTTTTAGTTTCTACATCATCAATTATCTTGTGTAAAATTCTGCTGGTAAATTCCAAAATATAATCTCCAATCGCTAAAAGAATTTCAGGAATGTCTAAAGTGAGAATGATCATTTGCAGGAAAGTCATTCTCAGTTCAATAGGGGTGTTACTACTTGTAAGTAGTGATGAATCAAACCAGACAGCAAGTAATTCTAAGTAAATTTGAGGAATAGATGATGAATCCTCATTTAAGTTTTATACCTGCTTCGAATTTAGGATTTGAATTTATGATTTAGTCTTAAAGATACTAGATCTAGCTTGTTCTTAAGATTGTGGTAGAGAGAGATGAGATTAGCTTGTGAGCGAGTCCTTTTTCTGAGCTTACTCCTAGCTTTTTGCTTATTAACTTCTCTTTTCAGGATCAGCTCCTAATTCGCTTCTATTTCTCTTTTTATTTGGGTTATATGAATTTAGGAGATATTGTTCCAGGACTAGCAATATTGCAGACATGACCTGCAAAGTTTGCTATGAACAGTATTTAAACTTTTTCCTAATTTGTTTAATGGTAAAGACCTCTGCTCTAATTTGTACAACAAAATCATCATTGTTAGCTTCATATTCTAAGTCTCCTTTTGAGAAAATATTCAATATCTCTTGCAGACAGAACAGTTACTTGTCCAATTAAATGCATAAACCTTTGGTAAATTCCTCCAAATCAGACTTTATAAGTTAAAAATAAATGCATTACAGCAATGTAAACAGCTGGGTTCTTGTTGAATACTCTCACTATCAAATTAGTTATTATGGTCTCATGAACAACAGTAGGACTAAAATAGGATTAAAATAATAAGTCATTCATTACTTTTGATATGGCTCATTAATTAGATTGCAGTCAAAATGCTCAAAATCTCCTTGGAAACTTGATAAGCTCTATAAGATTCTTTCACACTCAGCTTTGATCTTTGATAACTGCTGCTCCTTTAAATCTGAATTCCATCTCAAGAATAAATTTTCATAATATTAAGAGTCCAAATGATTCAAAAATGTGTTCACCATCTCATCTTCAGATGTTGGAAGTTCGTTCTTTTAGTACTCCATAAGTGTAAAGAAGTATATTGGCATGTAAGCACCTAAAACTTGATATACAACCTCTATTTTATATCTAATCATTTTAGCTATCTCAATTCTAATTTTTTTATCCAAAGATTTCTCAAAAATTGTATTCAAAAAGAACATCAAAAGGCCCTGCTTTATCATAATTAATTAAGAATCTAGATTATCATAGTTAAGAATGTTCTAGAGTATTTATATCAATTTTTAAATATCTTCTAAATCTATCACTTCTCTGTCACTATTATATAGTTGACTTGCTACAAGCTTAACAAACTCGATATTGCTTACTAGAATCTCAGTAAATTTCAAATTCTTAGAAAATATCTTCAAAATGTCAAAGATTATAGAGGTGATAGTGATAATCCTTTGCTCATTAACGCTGTCACTTTCCTTGAACTTTACCAATTAGCAAAACATTGAGATGCTATCTTTAAAGAATCCAAAGGTCTTATTGCTCAAGATGTTTTAATATTGAATTAGATTTCTAATCGCCTTAGTTATTTCTAATACATCATCAAATAATTAGTCGCTTAAGTCAGTTAAGTGAGTATTTTCTACTCTCTATTTCAATTACTCTAATAAACTCTTCACAAAGAGGTTAACATCTGATGGTTTATAGTAAATGTCTGAATTAAACTACTTCACAAAAATACCCTCTACTCTTAGTTCATTTATGTTTACTGAATAGTCAAATTTTTGAATATAATCATGGAAAGAGAAGTCTATGTTTTGGAGTTGATTAGTTAGAATCTTCAAAAGTTCCTCTCTTGACTAATCATTCCAAATTAGCTCATGAGTTTTTTCCTCAATTGAAAAGATCTTAATAAACTTCTAGATTTCTCTGTCGTATAAGCTATCAAATGCCAATTTGTTTGTATATTAATCGAATGAGAATTTTATAATAAGATTGTCAAGAATCTTTTTCTCTAATAGCTTTTTCATATCAAACCAAAAGTCAATAATGATATCTTTTCTCTCTGGATTTTAGAATCTTTGCATTGTCAGTTAGAAGAATTTATTGGATTATTCAAAAGGAGAATTATTAGTTTAGAGTTGATGAGTGAATACATAAGAGAATGAAGTTAAATGCTGAATAGTTGCAATAGCGTCTTTTAAGAAATTATGAACGAGACCTCTTTTTTCATCTTGCCAAAGTGCAAAATAGCATTACTGTAAACATTTCCAAGCAAATCCGCTAATGATTAACTCTGGGTGAAGAGCAGGGTTAAGTGATATTTGCATTGTCAAATTTAATATAGAGCTTGATAATTCAAAGACTAGCTTCATTGCTATTTCTCTCTCTATCATCTTTTGCTGTTCTCCTGTAAAATCAATTTATATGTTTTTACTCCTCTTTACACTTTACTTAGAACTAGATCTAACGATGTTTGAGTAAGATTACTCATTTTGAGATAAAAGCTTATTATCGCTGGGTTACTTCTAGAACATTATCTTCTTGCTAGTGTTACTCTGTGGAGTCGGTAAGATTTGTGTAAACCCTTAGTAAAAACCACCTTTAAAGGTATTTGCTAATTACTTAGCAATAATATTGTCCATACTTGATAAATTAAGGTCTTTTGCAAGCTTTTAGGCTTTCTCTTTTAATAGTTTCTTCTACTAGGCATAACCTAGGTATATTTGAAAACCGTAATCCAAAATCAAGCTAAGTTATTTGAACAAACTTACTTTAAACTACTAACTCATCGCAATAAAAGCATCAATATCTTCCTGTATTAACTTATTAATCGAAAGGATGCAGAATTGGAGAGTTTAAGCTTCAGTCTTATCAATCATCAATGAGATATTTTAATCGATTTTATCAAGATTGTTACCTTTTTAGTTCGACTGTTACAAAGCAATTTATTTTTTCCTTTCCTCTAAGTTCATTGGTAAATCTATTGACTATTCAGACTACTCACTTTACTTAATGGCAGTTTTATCATCGAAATTGGCAATATTCTAGGTATCTTACTAGCTTTTAGTTCCTTTTCCTGCATTACAAAGCATATACCCTATCGTATCACAAATAAGATTTATTCCATTCTTTGAATTAACCATTTTCAAATTATCAGCATTTTTATCAATCTAAATTTGAATTAACACAGATATGAGGATTTACCGCAAAATTGATCGTCTTAAAAGAAATTTTTAAAATCTTCTTTACTGTAGGACTGTATTCAATATCTAAAATAAATTAAGCTTAATAAAGGTTACCTTTATTATTAATAATGGAAGTACAAATTCTGTGAATCTCATCGAAACAAAAGGTTTTGTTGTTTTTGAAAGTTTCTCGGGCTAGTAAGTTAGACTTGAGTAAAATTAATAGCCTATTTTTTTGTGATTCTTGGAACTCAGATTCTTGTTCTTAAGTTAGCTAAATGACATCATTTATACTGGCTTGGAGGTTTTTAACGAAATCATCCTCTTCTTCTAAAGGTATCCAGAAAAAGTCTGGATCTTACCAATTTATTTAAGTCCAAACTCTTAAGTAGTATTAGCCACATCTAACTTCTTCTTCAATGAATTTGTATTTAATGATGTCTATTAAAGGTGTGTTGAACTTTGGCAAGAAATGATCATCATTTTGCATATTGTGCCTGAAATTATAAGCATATTCATTAAGATCACTGATCAATTGGTCTGAATTCATTAGAATCTATTATTTTAGCATTTCTCTCATTTGTCTATTCCAGATAAGCGTTGCTTTTTCATAGCTTATCTCTTAAAAGATTTAGATAAATTCATTTGTGTTTCCTGGCTAGATTGCTTTTATAACAAGTGGCAGAGGCAAATATCGCAAGAAAATTGAGTTCTTAAGGTTTCCAGAATGGTCCTGATGAATCATCTTTAAATCGTCCCCTTCATAGAACATTTCTAGATTCAAATTATCATTGTAATCAAAGGACACTTCTTGCATTAGTTAAAGCAAACTCATTGCTTGTTTAGATAACTCTGAGTCTAAGTACATAATTAGAAATTCTACTATTCCTGTGCTTTTGAACTTGTACATGCAATATTGGGATGAAAAATGAGTTTCAATAAAGCTGAAGGTCTCTCTTGTTAAGTCTTTATTTTAAATCAAAAGTAGCTGTGATAGAATCGAGACATTATCCTCTAGCAAAATAAATTGCTTTGCCTTTGACAAGGGATATATCTGAGCATTTAGATCTTTCCTCATTATCAAGTCTAATATCTTCAAAGATAGTATACCAATATTGATATTCGTAGAATTATCCTAAATGAATGATGCATCTTTAATGCAATCTGTGTAGTTCTTAATTTCACCTACATTTTTGGTTGACTCCTTCTTTTGAAGCTGAGTGTGCATAATTCTTTCATTTTCTGAATCATTATCGAATACATCTACAATGTTAACTTTCAACTCCTTGAAGGTAAAGTTTAAACAGTTAAAGACTATGTTTAAACCATCAGCTTCAATAAAAGATTCATAATTTATCTCTGCAATTTCTTAGTTTTGAACACTTAAGATTGTAATTATTAACTGAAGAATTAGGAAATGAGATCTTTTATATTCTTTGAGTCTCAATAGTCTAAGCCAATAAGGTAAAGTTCTGAATTCCTGAATAATATGATAATTCTTGCTGTAAAGTAGTATCATGACTTTTAAGATAATTTCTCTTTCCTCAACAGACTCAGAAGGCATAAATTATTGTTGTAGTTCATCCCAAAATATCATTAGCTTTGATTTCTAGATCTTCAAATCAATCTTTGGTTTTTCACCGTTTTCTACGAGAAGTCTAGAAAGATAGTACTTCCAAACTCTAAACATTTTCCTATCAACTGAAAAATTAACCCTAAATTCATTGTAATTCCACTTTAGATTTTTAACTCTTGACTTAATTTAATGATCAGCATCGTAATAGTGGACTGGATGCAATAGTTCCCTAAAAGAATCAGACATGATGTAGGTGTGCTTGAGCTTTTCTTTCATAAATCTATCTACTTCTTCCTTTAAATTCTGAACTAGCTCTTACTTAACGCCATCATTCCACTAAACCTCAGGCTTATCTAAGTTTCCTGAATGAATAATCTTAAAGAATTAACTCCACTCGTATTCATCCCAATTATAGTTTTTAAACAGCTCTGCTGAAGTTTCAACTTAAAGGAATAAGCTCTTCTTAAATATTCTGAGTAATACGTTCACTCCATCTAAAAGTATTTGATATTTAATATGATTACGTCTATTCTTGTAAAGAATTTTAGAAATGAATCTCAGACTCTCATTTCTTTGAATTTCTAGTTAAGATGCTAGATGTAAGTATATGTGATAGACTATTTGAACTGTAAAAATCATAATACTTGCTTGCATCTCATAAAACTTAATTGACTCATTCCTCTGCAAAAATGTAAGCAAATCCTAAATAAATTACAAAAAATGAAATTGTTACATTTGAGATTTAAGAGTATTACAAAGTAAACCAAAAGTGCTCAGTCATTTTCAATCTATCAATTATCTGTAAAAGCTTTTTATCATCTTGCTCACTGCAAATTTCACTTATTATGAACTTGTAATCCTCAACAGATGTTGTTTCCTTTCTTTTTGAGAGATACGTAAACAATATCTATGTATAGCTGAGCAAATGTAAGCTTTTCATTAAGCCATTCTTCTCAAACAATTTTCGATACTTATTCAATCTCTTCTTGAGTACTTTGATTATATTGAAATTTCCCTTAAGCAAGAGCTTCTTGTTTTACATTTCGAGCTTGGCTTCATTAGGGTTAAAGTTCTGTTGAAATTATTAATTAATATTAATAATACTTACATATATAAGAGCATAAATAACCTAAGTAGCCATATAAACAATGTATGGGTTATGAGATTTAAGTAGATCCATTACCTGAAATGTGAGTGAGTTATGAAATTAAGATTACTCTTTTAATTAACTATTCATGATCATTAATAATTTCGCCAAAAACTTATTGTGAGTTCAGACTAAGCCTTAGCAAACTTAAAATTCTTGAAATCTTTTGATTCATTACAATTTACTTCTATTGCTCTAAAATTCATTAATAAGTGCTTGGTACTTACTTTATTTTTCTGTTTCGATGAAATTAACTTAATCATTTTTTCTCTACTTTTGATACTATTCTTCATCACTATAGTAAGAATTATCATCCTATTATTCCTCCTGATTATTTCCTGACTCATCACTTCTTGTGTCTTCTTCTGTATCAGATTCTGATTCTTCAGAGTCATAAAACTCCTCATCCTAGCAGTTTTTCTTTTCAAATTCCAAATATTCTTTGATATCAGCATCTATCAATTGCTCAGCAAATATTTTCATGTTTAGTCCAGGAAGTCTTTACATGCTAACAAAACTCGAGTTCATAATAATCTAGTTAATAATAGAAGCCTCCATTGCACTCTCAACTTCATTTTTTTCTCTTGCATCAATCATGGCATCCTAGGCTTTTCTAAAGATCGAGGTTTCATACTCTGAATCAATTTCGTATTTAAAGCCTTGTATTCTTTGGTTGAAATCTGGCTCGTGCATAAAGATTTAAAGACTATATTTTGGTGGAGCTACTAAATTTCTCAGGCTTATTGTTGCTGATAAAAATTGATCAGTTTTTTGAATTTTCATTGACAGTTCTTGATAGAATCCATTTTTCTATGAAAATATCAAGTTAACATCATCGGCATTAAGGAGAGAGTCTTAATTTACGATGACATATTTGAGATCTTTGAGTTGTGCAAGTGATTTGATTTTGATCTTCGAGTTCAGTGATTCAAATACCATCAAATAATCTTCAGTCAATCTAATCTGGACAGGAATAGTGGGTAGATCGTTTTCTTAAAATAGGTGACCTTCTGTCTCAAAAATATAAACAGGTTGTTCTTTCTCAGTCTTGTAGAATTAATTCAAGAATTCCACCTCAATTGTTTGAAACTCTGATTCATTCGGCATCTTCTATTCTAGCAGCTGTTTCTTTGCCTTCTTTTCATCTTCCTTTTTATACTGAACCTAGTAGTTCATATATGCTTTAGCATTCATCAAAATAGTAGTGATAGCCTTGGTTAGTTTTTCTTGAGATGGAAATACAAACTTGTATATATCCATGTTCTATGCAACAAATCTTAGCAAAGTAAAAACTTACATGCTTCATTATATAGAGAGTGCTCTCTAATGATCTAAGACTTTGGATTTCAATCAAAAGTATAACTAATTGGTTCTCAACACTTGAAATTTTAGAAGTATCACCACCTCTCAATGATATGGTGCTACCAAGATCCACGCCACTCATCATGTTGGCCTTTGATGAAAACATAAAGTCGTCACCTCTTTAATTCATTTTGTAGCTTATTTCTATAAGACTGTTGAATATTGTGAAGATGGCGCTCTTGGATGACTCTTCTTCATGATAGATGTCTCTCTAGTGGATGACTCTCTCCTGAAATTTGAATTAGACTTGGCCAGATTCATTCTCTTGATCTTATTTGGAGTAGGGCATCTATCAAAAATAATTTTCATCAATCATGACTTACAAAGTAGAGATACAATTCCGTGAGAAGCCTACTTCTTTCCAAGCAAGAGAATGTGTGGTAGGTATTATTCTTAGTGATGATTGTAAACTCTTTATCGTCTCTATCATTGGTTTAAATCGATTAAAAATCTGTAAATGGTATCTAGTCTGTCCTTTCCAGGAATTAGTTCGTAGGATACAGAATCACATCCGTGTCTGTTACAACCAGTAGCTTCTTTACTGATGAAAGCAAGTAGTTTCTCTCAACCAAATACTTAGAAGTGAGTTTGGTATTAGTCTACGACGTGAAAAATCTTTTGGTCTTGACCTATGTCTCCTTATTATTTTGCATCTTATTAGTAATTATATCTAATTCTATGCATAATTCACAAATCTTGATAATTTTATTCTAATGGGGTTTTGGGGTTTTGGGG